TCTATTGCACATGCGTGTATGTGTTTAAGGCTAAACATTTGGAATTGAATAGTTCGCCAGGTCAGGAGAATCAGATTAAAATTAAAATGACCCTCCCCTGTCAGCAGCCATTGAATATTTGTAGCTCTTCATCTAGAGTGGGGCCATGGAACTGGCTTGTATGCTTCTTTTGTGTTCTTCCTCTTGTGTTTGTGTTCTTATCTGGTTTGGTTATTAATGCAACACTGGTTTGTAGAAAGTGTTTGAAACTGACGTGTCTTCCTAGTTGCTCTCTGGCTATAAAGAAAAGTGAAAACATGAAAGGTGAGGGTAATAGATGGAAGTCAAAAATATTGTAGCAAGTGTGATACAATTTCTCTCTTGTACATTGACATATCACCGTCTAACTGAGGAACAACCCATAATCAAGATTGACTTGCCCTCCTGGACTTGATTGGTTGCTGATATTGTCCACATTCAAATATCCACATTTCCACTGGCTGAACATGTCTAGGTTTTATGATTAAGTTGTATTTATGACTAAATTTGTATAACTATTTTTGTAAACTCTCACTGTGTAATCCAGTCTATGTGTGTTATCTCCTCGAAGGAACCAAGATCAACTGGATAATTGGTTGATTATGTAAGCATTTTTGCCTTTTATCAGTGAGATGATAATAAGACATGAATCAAATTTATCAAATCATTTATCAAATATCCCTTTTTGGGATGTTATAACAGACTTCAGCTACTAAGGAACACCATTTTATGATTTTCCCCAAAGTGCATGGAATTGGGGAGGATTCTGTTAAGTGAAATAAGCTACACTCAGACAAGTATTGCATACAAAATACACATAAAAATACCCAAAATGTGAAAGTAGAAGGTGGCTATTTAGAAAGAGGAAGTGACCAAGCAAGAGGAGGTAGAGATGTACAAGAGAGGTAACAAGAGATGAATATGGCCATAGTAAGTAATATAATTGTATGAAAATGTTTGAAAGAAGGCCATCATTTTGTAGAATAAGTGTGTAACTTAAAATGAAGCTTGATCCTTGAAGGCACTGGGAGAATTCTCATTGTAATTATCAAAAACCTGTTGTCTTAGCTCCTTCCATCCCCAGGCTATTACTGCAGTATGTTTGCTCAGTTACTTAGGGACTCAGTGTAAACATCGCAAATGGTTTGCGGAAGGTCGCTCCATGCCCAAGAATAGAAAGAGTGAGGATCTGAGACTGGCAGAATAGACTGAATTAGTCTCAGTGTAGTTCCATTGTGTACATAAGCCTACTTGAGCTAGGGCAGAGAAAAGATTGCAACACATAAAAGCCTACAAAGCACTATTTAAACTTCAATGTATTTTCCCACGTATATAAAAAGTGTACAAAATGGAAAATGGCAAGATAGTCAAAGATGAAACACAGTGTATAGAAATGGCTGCTGGTATTGGGTTATAATTTCAGGGAAGTTGCAGGGATGCTCTTCTTATTGTTTTCATATTACTAACTAAGGTTGGGGAATGCTAGTTATGTTCTTGGGAATAGATTGTAGCAAAGTGTGTTGGTTGTGTTAACATTCAGCTTTACAGAATCTAGAATTATCTGTGAGGTAGGTTTCTGGCCACAACTTTAAGGGATTGTCTTTTTTTTCTTCTTGAATATACAAACAACCTTATTTTACATGCCAATCCCAGTTTCCTCTCCCTCCCATCATCCCATGCTCCCCCACCATCCACTCCCCAGGGAGAGTGAGGCCCTCCATGGGGGATCATCTTGTGGAGAAAGGGGAACATTCTTCTATTGCTGGTGGGAAGCAAACTTGTACAGCCATTTTGGAAATCAGTATGTTGGTTTTTCAGGAAAATGGGTATCAGTCTACCACAAGATCCAGCAATCCCACTCGTAGGCATATACCCAAAGGATGCACATTCCTACAACAAGGACATATGTTCAACGATGTTCATAGCAGCATTATTTGTAATAGTCAGAACCTGGAAGTAGCCTAGATGCCCCTCAACCGAAGAACAGATAAAGAAAATGTGGTACATTTACACAATGGAGTACTACTCAGTGGCAAAAAAAAAAAAATGAAATCTTGAAATTCACAGGCAAATGGATGGAACTAGATGAAACCATTCTGACTGAGGTAACCCAGACACAGAAAGACAAACATGGTATGTGCTCACTCATATATGGATATTAGACATAGGGCAAAGGATTACCAGCCTACAATCCACACCTCTAGGGGACCATCTACTGCTGGTGGTGTCTATTCCTGGAGAAGGGTAATAAAGCAGAACAATCTATTTCTTTTTTTGCTTCTCTCTATTGAAAATAAATTCTTTACATACAATATATTTTGATGCTGCTTTCTCCTCCCTTTTCTCCTCCTAGGTACTCTGTAACTGGCAACTACTCTTTCGTTTTTGGCTCTGGAAATGATAGCTACTTCAAGCTCCTACGGCTTAGACTGCCCTGCCATGAAACTATAATCCCTTTCTTCTTTAAGTATCTTTTATCCAAGGTACTCTGATATAACAATGGGAAAGAAATAAAGGAAGAAAACGTTAGCCGTTGCAAAGTGAATTTTTAATGTGAAGGTGATAGATTTTTTTTTTTTTTTGGTTTAATAAATCCTTCTCTCCTTTCTGTGTCTTTCCTTTCTGAAGTCTTTTAGAATATTTAGTGAAGGAAGAAATGCTGCAGGGAAGGATGTTAGAATGGGCAGTCAACTCAGTAGTAACATGCTTCCACTCTTGGAACCCTGCAGTTAGCATGCCTTGTGAAGCACTGTTTCCTATGGTGATTCCCAATTTGAATCACTTCAGAGCCACAGGATTAGCACTAAAATTTTCCCTCATATTTACTTTACATACAGTGGGCATGCACAGTAATCTTGCTAGTTGCCCCTGTCATTGCTGGGATCAGATACCTTGCAAGAAGCAACTTCTAGTTCCATCCATTTCCCTGGGAATTTCAAGATTTCATTGTCTCCCCCTGCCCCCCCCCCCCCCCTGTTGAGTAGTACTCCATTGTATAAATGTACCACATCACAGAAACAACTGACCTGAACAAGTAGAAACTCCCAGATCCCAGACTGACATCTGGGGAAAGTGCATAGAACCAAACTAGGCTTCCTGAACATGGCTTTCAGTTGGGAGTCCTGGGCAGTCTAGGGGGCCTCTGGTAGTGGAACAGTATTTGTCCTCAGTGTACGAATGGGCTTTGTGAACCCATTTCCTATGGAGGGTTACTCTCTCAGCCTGGATACACAGGGGGGGGGGGCAGGGCCTAGTCTTTCCCCAAATGATGTGTCAGATTTTGATAATCCCTCATGGGAGGCCTCATCCTCCCTGGGGAGTGGATAGTGGGTGGGATGGGTGGTTGGTGGGGGGTATGGGAGGACAGGAAGGAGAGGTAACCGAGATTGGCATGTAAAATAAGACTGTTTTAAATTTAAATAAAGCTTAATTAAAAAAAGAAGCAACTTAAGGGTAGAAAGATTTGTTTTGGCTCACAGTTTAATGATGCACAGTCCGTCACAGCCAGGGCAGGCAGAGAAGTGAGAACACACTTGTCAGTGGTGGTAAGAGATTAAAGCAATGGTTTGATCAAATGTCCCAGGACCAGAGAACAGAGATGGATCAGGATGTATGCCGGGGCCATCAAGTATCAAGTACGACTCCTGAGATGAACTTCATCCAGATCTGTCTTCTAAATGGCCTACATGCCCCCAAATCAGTGCCATTAGCTGGGGAACAATTGCCCAAGTGCTTTCCCCTATGGAAGGTATTTTAAACTAAAACCAAACACTTTTATTAAAAGCTTCCTATTTTTTTCCCAAGAAATATTTGACAAGATCAAGCTTTTACTGAAGGAGGTATCTCCCCAACATACTATTTGATTCTCCAAAGACATGCCTTAAATCATCCCGTTTACAGAAATTAATACCATTAATATGCTTTTTCTTGTTTGTTGACTGTAGTCAAATGTAATACACCATATTTTTTAATATGTGAATTCATTAATCTTATTGGAACTTTATGTTTTTCTTTTTAAAAGGCAAAGTTGGAGGAAGACATAAACAGGAAGGTAAAATTACTGATTTGTATTTCTTCTCTTTCTAATAGGCATAAAATTTGGAACATAAGTGAAATCAAAACACACGGAGAATTACACTGTGCTACAGCCTGTGTTTCTAGTACCTTTTTGGAGTCATATTTCTTACGTTAAGAGACTTAATATGGTCATGGCTAAGTTTGTGACATGAGTCAAAATAAGATTTGTGAGGGCATGAAGGAAGATAAGACTTCTTACATAATAGTTTCCCCTTATGACTCCAAGGCCCAGCTGTATATTGGTTTCAAAGGAAAGATAAATATCAGTGTTCAAAATTCGCAGGCAATTTCAGAATGTGAGGTTATTCATTCTCATCACATTTTCTTTTTGATTATTGTGCACCATGCTGAGTAGAATCAGACTTAATTTTGATCCATTACGGATTCCTAAGTTTTTGAGCCAGGGATAGTTGAGCATATATGTTCCCAACAAGCTGCTACCTTTGCTGATTCTTTCCAGACTAGCAACATAAATTATACTATGTAAATGCTTGGACATTTGCTTTTCTTTGAGAGGTTAATGTGGAATGTAAATAATATTTACAATGAGAGTTTCTTTTGTAAGTCTTAAATCTTTACCTTTCTAGCTAGCTGAAGACTGAATCTTAAAATTTTCCTCCTCTTTTTTTCCCTGTTTTTAACATCCTTATTTATTTAAAGTAATAACTTCATACATAAATGTTAGTGATAAACACTTGATACTGGCATATAAAATAATCTCTTGTTTGAAAAGCATATTATTAAAATAATTCCTAAAAAAATTGAACACTTATTCACTCAGTTTAAGATGTTGGTCTCATTTTAAGAGCATAGACATAAAACTAAAACAATAGGGGAAATGGCAGTAACTCTTTACTAACCAACCATGTCACTAAATCATAAAGATCAAATTAAGGGAGCTATACCTGCACCATTGTGATTTTGGATAGTAAAGAGACAAGTCTAGTGGGTAAGGGTAATTTTATTCTTTTTTTTTTTCTGCTTCCAAACAAAAATCGGATGTGAAGAAAATACTCTTTGTTGGTGGCTCCCTCAAACCTTTGTGGAAAAGTAGCTTGTAGTATTTTATATCTTAGCATCTAATATTTCCTTTTCACTACCACAAAATATAGATAATAAGATTATAGATGCCATCCCCAGACTCATTTAAAATAAGGTGGACACTTAAATGGTCTTTATTTGTGATCTCTCTCTTTCTACTTATTCTTTCAGTCTGTGCCTTCCTTCCCCTTTCCCTTCTTTCTCCTTTCCTTCCTCTCTTATATTCTTTTAAGATAGCACTATGAAGAATTTCCTGACCTTTCAGTCATTTGCTTCTGTAAGTACTAATTGAATGCTCCAGTTCAACTTCATTTAGTTTTTTCCACGTATCATACACGATCTATCAACTACCAGTGGCTCTCTGAACTGTGTTGGTCTTTGTCTACTTTGCTCATGGTGCATCGTTTGACTACCCTTTACATCATGTAGTCAACTCTCGTGTCAGTTGGTACCTAGTTGGATTTGATCAGTGCACCAGTGGCATCTTCTCACTGAACAGAAAAGAAGAAGGAGGAGGAGGAGGAGGAGGGGGGGAGGAGGAGGAGGAGGAGGAGGAGGAAGGAGGAGGAGGAGGAGAAGGAGAAGGAGAAGGAGAAGATGAAAGGACAATGACACTCTGCTTCTTTGGAGCACACCTCTTGTTCCCATCAGTGGTTTGCATATCCATGCCTGAAGTTCTCACTTAGCTGCTTCTGTGGTTTGGATGTCCCCACAAAAATGTACATGGAAACTGAAAAGCCACTGGGGAAGCAACACAGAGTGGAACCTGTAAGAACTGATAATCTAATGAGGGCTCAGCTCCTAGAAATGGATGGACTCCACATTTTCTGGAGCGGTGAGCCACAGCAGAGGTTGGTTCCTGATAAACAGATGTGGGCATTCTGTGGTATTATACACACAGGAAGCACACAAACAGCTCATCTTCCAGGCTTCTAAATTCTCATAGATGATTCTGGCACCTTTGTCTTCTAATAATGCTATAACTTCCTTTTGTTGTTAATATTGGAAAACTTGTGCATTCATTGTTTCCTTCATGATTCCCTTCAGTATACCTTGTATTAAATTTCTTCTGTTACATTCAATATTTGTATTATGACCGCATGTGTGTGTGTGTGTGTGTGTGTGTGTGTGTGTGTGTTGCATGCACACGCCATGGCATTCATGTGGCAGTCAAAAAAAACTTTGTGGACCCTGTCTTCTCTATTCTTTTTTTTATGTGGCTCCTGAAGATTGGGATCTGGTTACCAGATTTTCTAGTAAGCACTTTTACCTATGACAATCTTACCCACTACATGCTGTTCTTTATAAGAACTCTAATTTATTGGTTATATTCTGATAAAGAAATATGTATATGATGTGTTTTTGAGCTTCTGTATATACCTACTGTATCCCATTAGCCTCTAAGATTCCTGAAAGAGGGTACTGAGCTCTGCCTGATGCCTAGTTTGACTGATGAATCTTTTCATGCTGTGTATTGGGTAGTCATGATTTGTTCATATGTTTCAACACACCTGCTAAGCTACATGTATGTGACAACTATACACATTTTCACAGTGCAGTGAATTACAGGTCTGTCTTGTGTTGTAATTATTATTGTAAATTTTTATGCTTTAAAATATTAACAGATTTTCATAACCACAAATTTTACTGAGAGTCATAAATCAATGAAAACAAAAGAATATCAAAAAAAACTCTGACTTTCACTTTCTGTTGTCCATTTTTCCTTAGGAAATTAATTAGCTCGACTTAACCCTTGAGTCTTCATCATTGCTTCTTTTTCACCATTTCCCATTTCTAAAAATTCGTACATTAGCTCACTTTTGTTTCTAAGGATTTCCTAAAATGTATTTAACAAGAAGACACAATTAAATTATATTTTCACTTTGATTTGATTGATTTGTCTTTCAAAGACTTCCCTTAGTAGGAGGAACAACTAGAATGCATATTGAAATATATTAGTTGGTTGTCCACCATTCATCATAAATTTGGCATGAGAAAGGTAGAAAAATTCACAAGAACATCATGAGAGAGCAAAAAATCTATCCGGCTGAGGATCTCTTGAAGGCTACAACAATGGACGTGGAAGAAAAACTTAGCCCTGGCAATAGTTGAACAAAAAAAGTATTGAGTTGGAGTACGATGTCTCCTGGGAACACATAGAGTAAATCCAATTTACAGAACTATAACTAAGGGTCGGTCACCTTTCTTCATTTGTTTTCTGTACCTGAAGATAACAACATATCTAAGCCTTAACATGTAGGAGCACCAACCTGAGCCAGTTGCTTTTAATACTTAACTACATATTGCAGTTGGACCAAGTCCTTGAGCTCATTATCTGCCCTCTTGGAAGAGAGGTTATCTATGAAACATATGTTTTAAGCTTGTGTGCTCACACAAGCACACACATGTATGTGCATGAACATGCAAATGCACACTTGGAACCAGCAGACAATTCAAAGCAAAAATTAAGTTGATATGAGGAAAACAAATGTCTTGAAGGAAGAAAATATAGGGGAATTTACCATGTATTCTATCAGTCTACTACTATAAATTTAAGTACTATAAAAATAAGTAATATAAGTGCTTGGACAATAAGAAGGCTGATAAATGCTCATATAAATTTCCAGGACCCAGACATTCTTTTTAATGGGATGCTCATTTCCCAGGGTCAACTGTATTCTAAAAGAGGTGGTTTTTTTTTTTTTTTTGTAGGGACGGAATGCTTATCTTTACTCCCTGGGTTATGACTCTATACCTATCCTTATATAACCACAAACAAGTAAATTCTCTCTCCATTAAATCATACAAAACCTCAGAATTTTCATGAGGAAGGAAAACGAGGAATGAATTGATTTCATTCATAGCCCAGAGACAGATAACTGGTAATATTTGGTAACTGGTAATATTTGATAACTGGTAAAAGGGAAAAGTAGTAAAATGTGCAGTTAGGATGATACCCATCTACTACAGAACCGATTTAAAAAAGTACAGTAGCTGGATAATCTTCTATGGGGCTAGAGATATGGCTCAGTGGTTGAAACATTTTCTGCTTTTACAGAAGACCCAGGTTTGGTTCCCAGAACCCACACCAGGGCTCATAACCTCAAGTAACTCAAGTTCTAGGAGATCTGGCGCCCTCTTCTTACTTCTATTTTTACCCAACACACACGTATGTACATTCAAGCAAATCATTTATACAGATAAATAAAAATAAATAAATCCTATTAAAAGAATAGAGGTGGAGCTAGCCATAACAGAATACACCTATAATCCTAAAATTTGTGGGACCAAGGGAAAAGGAGGAAGAGTTTAAGGTCATTCTGGCCACCTAGTGCAGCCCTTTTGCAAAAAACAAAGCATTACTAAATCAAGAATGCAGACTGTTGTATAATAGACTTGGGACCACACTGTACAGATCATGGCTGTTGTCCATCTACAATCTTGTCATTGTGGTTCTATAATGTTTGAAATTTTATAGTTGCAGCTATGCAATTTTAGGGTTTTCAGCTATCACAAGTGGACAAGAAAACACAATACTCAGTTGTGGGGGATGTATAGACAAAACAAGCATACATTAAGAAATAGTCCTCTAATTCAGCAGCTTTGGAGTCTGGTATCAGAAAGAGTCAGATAATAGGTTTTCATGAGGGATTTTTAGGGGGCTGTGGTGGTTCCGAAGTGCTAAGACTTGAAGACCAGTAGGCTCATAGATGGATCGAAAGTGGAGATTGTTTTTTGGTAGACAAAGGAATTCATGGATAAAACACATGTATTTCATTACAAAATACATGTTTATACATTATTATCATAAATCTATGCATATTATTTTAAAATACTCATATTATCTTACATTTTACTGTATTTATATTGTATTACAATAAGTACATGTAGTTATAACAAAATAAGATAAAATACATGGCATCACAGAAAATTTTTAAAAATTGGTATGATTAATAAGGACAGAACTTAAAAAATTAAATACTGATATATAAGAAGAGATGAAGTCAGAAACATACAGAGATTGTTTTTTCTAGGTTTTTATCAACTACAGATTTTGGAGCCATTTGTTAGATTTCATTATGGTATTTTGAATAACTGACAGTAACTGGGAAGTAGCCATACAGTAAAGAATTTACTGAGCATAGTCCAGGCCTTGACTTAGGACCCCGATACATCCAAAATAGTTTTGTGTGGATTGTTTTTCCTTCTTCCTCTGAACCAATTTTGTAGCCTCCCAGTCACCACGCCCACAGTATCCTCTTTGCTTCCATGTCTCATGTATCTTCTTCCTGTACCCCACTTTCTCAACACCTGCTTTTCCCTCTGAAGGCCTTCTTTCTTCACCACATATGTACATAGATGGGAAAAATATAAACTGGTACCTGCGTAGGAAAGAGAGCTTGCAATATTTGGCTTAAGGTGTCTGGGTTACTTCACTCAATATAATACTATCTAGACCCATCTGTTTCCCTGAATTTGTTTTTCTTTACAGCTGAACATAATTCAATATTTACATACATTCAAACATCATTATCTGTTGATGGACACCCAGGCTGATTCTATTTCCTTGCTACTGTGAATAACACAGCAATAAATGTGGCTGCTGGAGCCCCTCTGTGATTGGATGTAGAGACTGCTGGATAGATAGTGGTGTAGGTGGGTCGTATGTAATTCTATTCTTCATTTCTTGACAAGTCTCCATGCTGACTTCTGTAATGGCTATACTTCATTGTCTTTCCAAAAGCAATGTTGGTTCCTCTTTGTACACCTCTCACCTGAGTTTTTTGGAACCTGTAAGGAAGAAGGCGTTACAGAACCAAGAACTGTCTTTGAAAAACTTCAAGACTATCGATTGCTGCTGATTGAATAGAAATCAGACAATGAACACATTGACGTTGCTTCAGGGGCTGTTGTAGAAGTGAAGCCTGGAGCCTGTCAGCGTCTGAGGTGGGGCAGTAACAGTGTCTGTCATAAAGAGGGGATGGTGTCACACTTTCACACAAGCTGCATTTACCCTACCTCATTCTTGTGCGTGGCATTCACCTATAGTACATTTCTTTAGGGAATTCAGTTGTCTCTTTGGTGCAGACAATTCGCATGTATTTTCAGACATGATGGTATGTGATAGGAAAGACAACTTCCATGTCAGTTTTTTTCATGGAACGACTTAATGAAATCAAATGTCAAGACTAATAAATTGTTTTATGGAAGTAATTAGAACAGATGTTAAATTTTGTGGCATGAAACCAGTGGTAGACACAGAATACAGACCCCCTTCGTGACTGGATTGTGAGTTGAGTCTTTTTAATGTACAGTGTTTCCTGAGGCATGCAGATTAAAAACAAAACAAAACAAAAACATACCACCCACCCCATATATGGGATTACAAATATGGTGACTGATATATATATATTCATTACATCACAATAATCATTAAGATGCTACCAAGGAACTCTGAGAAGAATCTAGAATGTCTTTTTAAAGAAAGTATGCCTATTACGTGTTGTTGCCAATCTT